GCGCTCTCTTTCTCTCTCAAATAAATAAATCAATCTTTAAAAAACGAGAAGAATTTCTTCCCGCACCCGTTCTTTGTGCTCTCTGCTGTGTATTGACTGGATGATTTTTCCATTTTGCCTCTGTAGGATTGGTTCGTCGTAAACCCAACAACAACCAAAAGCTTTGAAAAGCTCATGAAGATAAAGCAGCGGCAGCAAGAAGAAGAACAGCGGAGGCAGCAGCACAGGAGCAGAAGGTCTCTGCGAAGGCTGCAGCAGCCTGGCATCGAGCTTCCCGAGGCAGAGCGGAGTCTTAGAGTAGGGAAGGGTCCGAGGAGGAGTAACGAGGAATTGCCGGTGTCGACCTCCCGTAAGGAACCGGAGCAGGAGCCGGTGCCAGCACGGTTCCAGAAAGTAAAGCCCCCAAAGACTAACCATAAACGAGGAAGGAAGTAGGCAGGCAGCGTGGAAGCTCCCAGGAGAGTGGACCTGCCGCTGTTGTCACGGGGGCCTGCGCTGGGAGGACTGAGTCATGGGGGCTGAGCGAGGGGAGATGTACTCTCTCAGCTGTTTGTGTAAGGCTGTGACTTTCTCAGCTCCTTCCTCCTGTGTAAATTTCACCGTTCTCCCTATTTATTCACTTTGACCCCACCCCCACCCCCACCCCCACCCCTTTTGGGTAGGTTTTCCTGCTATTCCTCATTGGAGTCCTTTTGTTTTTCTCTTATCTTGCCCAAAGAGCTCCCTCTTAAGGCCAACTATGGGCCCCTCTTGCCCTGTACAAAACTGAGAAACCCGTTTGGTTGTCCTTTTCCTTCCTGGGCCATAGAATGTTCTTGGACTCTCCACTGATTAACTAGTCATTCCATCATCTCGCTTATAAAACAATTCCAAATTAATTTTTTTAAATCATACTGACTTACCATTTTGTATTTGTGATATAACAATCCTAGAAGCTAGAACTGTTGTCACTCATATAATAAGCTTATCCTGTCTCCTCGGGAAACAGATTTTATGGAGGCTGTTTGTTCTCTCGATATGGTTTTAGGATTGAAAGTAAGAAAATGGATTTAGGATGAAAAAGCTAGAACCTCTCTACACTGGTTTTATTGGGAAATGTTTTGTTTGTCCCAAGTAGCAGTGACTGTCTAACTAGACCCACAAGCATGAAAAGCAGCCCAAACATTAACATGTCCCAAACATGAAAATGATTGGAAAGAAGGAAGTAGAAGAAGCAATAAAGACTGCCTCGACTTTCTTGGGGCTTGAGGCCTCATCAGTTGCTATGATCAGTGCCCTCCAGAAGCTTGTTTGCTCCCCCAGTTTTAAGGATTGAGAAATACCACATTGCACTTGATGTTTTGACCCAGAATCCTAGTGTTCCTGGTAATGCCACTAAGATTGGTAGCCAGGGTACACATTCCTTCTCCTCTGGACTTGACCTCACTTGTTAGTCTACACTGTGCTAAGTCTTTATTCCTCCCTTTAGCCAACCTCTGTCTCTCGGAGTTTTCTGAGAATATTGTCCTCTGTCCTCTTTTTATGTGGAGTTCTATCCTCTTTATATCTTGAGACTTTGACACCAGATGTAGATATTTCTCTGGTGTTGGAAAGAAAAATTCCTTTTCTGTACCTCATGCCTACCTGATAAAAAATGTCTAGTGGGCTACTTTTCTTTGAGGCTGGCTTTCTCTGGAGCATTGTTTAGAACAGCTCTGTTGTTGGGTTTCTAGATTCTCTTCCCCTTCTCCACATATATTGGTCTTATATATTCTTGCCAATTTTTGTGGCATCTGCCACATAAAAAGCAAGGACCCTGAACCCTGATATGGATTAATACTACCTTTTCAAATTCTGAAAGGCTGTTACTACTCTTGAACTCTGTATCCTGTGCTGCTCCACATAGCTTTAAAATGTGGGCTTTTGTGAAGACCACTTTCAAACAAGGGAGCATTGAAACCACATTTGGATACTGCCAGAATAGATAGTTTTGAAACAAGTCAAGGATGTGGTATGTCCACTCTACATTTTCATTGGCAGTTGCACCCTTAAAACCCTTTCGGTAGATGAGGATTGTCAGGGAGGAGAAATGAAGAAGCTATATTAATTTCTGGTGAGTAAGACTTGGGGAATGTTGGGCAATGACAAAAGAAATAAATGACTGTCGGTTAGAATGATGTTTCCAGTTGTTCATTGACTCCGACCTGCTACTTGACTCCTTGCTGACACAGTATATGGGGGTAAGAAAATGGCTAGACATGGGAGTGGGTTGGAAAGAATTACCAAATGCGGGGTGTTGGTAGTTTTTTATCCCCTGAAATCTGCTGGTTAAAATGAGTAATTTGTTTGAGATTAAAGTGAATTAATACAGGAAACTTGTCCAGTCTCATCCAGGGCCCTTGCAGGCACTTGAAAAAATTTTCCTTCCTGGGGCGCCCTGGTGGCTCAGTCAGTTAAGCATCTGACTTAGATCAGGTCATGATCTCAGGGTCCTGGGATTGAGCCCGGCATTTGGCTCCTTGCTCAGCAGGGAGTCCACTTGTCCCTCTGCCCCTCGCCCTGCTCGGGCTCTCTCTCAAATAAATAAATATAATCTTAAAAAAATTTTTTTTCTTCCTGAGGCCAGGTCTCAGCAGGACCCAGTAGAGAGTATTGTAATCATACTACTGATTTTTTAAATTTTTAAACCAAATTTATTAGAATAATATAAATTTGAAAATATCGAGTTTATAGCCAGGTGGTGGAGAATGTGAACCCTCATGCACAGTTTGGAACATTAATTGTAACAATCACTTTGGAAATGATTTGGCAGTATCTAGTCAAGCTCAAAATATGCCCTAAGGCTTAGCAGTTTTACTCCTGGGTACATACAGAGAAAAATCCTCTTGCCCAGGTGTACGAGGAGACATAAAGAATGATATCATGGTATCGTTTACAACACGTAGCAGAGACTACTAGCTGTCCACCAAAATCTGCTCTCACCTTGCAGAGTTACAGAATTATAGGACAAATGGTTAAACTATGTTTCCCAGCCTTCTAGTCCCCTGACCCTGTAGTGAAGGGGTAGCCAACTAACTGCTCAGCAGTAGAATGTGAGTGGAAGTGACGTGTGTCACATCCAGGCTAGAACTTTTAAGAAAGTGAATGTTAGCTCTATGCTTTCTTTCCCCTTCCTCGGGCCAGATGCAGATAATAGAGTGGCTTTAGAGGGTGGCAGAGCACAAAATGGAAAATAGTTGATGCCTTGAATCATCCCATGAAGGACTAATTGCCAACCAGGAACATCTGTCTGAGACTGCTGCAGATAAAAAAATATCTGTTATTTGAGGCATTTTACATTCTTGGGTTTGTTAGCCTACTCTGATACTAGTCGAATTGTCCATCAGGAGAGGGGATAGAATCATACAGTGGAATACTATACGCTACAAAATTAACTAGGGCTTCTTGTGTCATGAATACATCTCAAAAATAATGTCTGGGAAAAGCAAGTTACAGTATACGTGAAGTGTGCCATTTATGTAAGGTTTAAAAAGAAGCAAAACAATGCTCTATATTGTTTATGGATATGTAAAAAATATTTCTATGCTATGTTATATATATATTTGTATTTAGTACATTTATAGTTTAATATCATATATACATATGTATATATGGCATGAAAACATGCACAGGAATGATAAACACCAAATTTAGGACAGTGCTTCTGGGATTCAGAGGGACTACAAGTGAATTTTTAAGTTCTTATTTCTTAAGGTGGATAGTGAGTTTGTTCTGGTCTTCTGTATTGTGTGTCTGAAATACTTCATTTTAAAAAATCAGTTCTCACCAATTATTCTGCTCATCTTCTTAAAAGAGAACACTTTAGAAATTTTACTTGTGTTTCATTCTTAACCTTTCATTTTCCCTTCACCCTTTAGTATTCTCTTCTTTCTATTTACTTCTACTTCAGCCACCCCAGTCTGAACCATCATCACCTCTCTTGGCTAGACCATAATACTTTCTTGATTGTTTCTGATTTTTACTGGCTTGGATACATGCCAGTAACAGCTGTATTGAGTTTTTAAAATTGTAAATCAGACCTCATTCACCTGCTAAAAGCCTGCTGGTTTCCCAGTGCTCTTTGTCCTATAAGGCCTTCTGCTCCCACTGTTAACCCATTTAGCCTCCTGTCCCTCCGCTCCACCTCTGTTTTCTGACCATTTCCCAATACACTTTAGCTACATTCACCTTTTAGTTCCTGGAACCTACTAAGCCTAGAACCTTTACCTTCACTGTTCCCATTGCCCAGAATGGCTTCTTCCCTGGTTTTTGCAAGGTAGGCTTCATTATATCATTTAGGTCTTAACCTAAATTTCACCTTGGTTGTCTTTTCCATCTAAATGCACTTTCTGTAACATCACCCTGTTTAATTTTCTTCATAGCAAAGCAGACTAAAAGTAGGTTGAGATATTAGTTGGCCAACCTATTGCTCACTTGCAGGTTTGGGTTTCAAAGTACCTTTATCAGATGATTCACCCACAAAAGTCTTCAAGCCCTTGAGGCCTCACTCTGAAAGGGATAGACATAATGTAATACACCAGATTCATTATCTGGGATGGTAGGAATTAAAGATAAATGTATGGGACGGAAGTTACCTACTCCCCAGTTAGATAATTGGGACAGCAAAGGTAGAAGGGAAATTCACAGCAGAATAATAAGATTCTAAATCCCTCCTACTTTCCAACTCATCAGCCTTAGTATGTATTTTCCTATGCTTTTTTTTTTTTTGCATTTTTGCATCCACAGAGAATAGGCCTTCAAATTTATCTTGGTTACCATGTTTTTCAAGTTCAGTCTTTCTGTATTTTCAGCTCAAGAACCAAAGTATTCAGGTTAAGGTACCTGCATACTATCTAAAATTCTACTTTCTGTATTAAAATTGCAGTTTTATTATGTGCACACTAATATGAATAAGACATGCAGAAGCAATAGTAAGGGAGAAGAGTGGAGTAGAAAATACACTGGAAAAAAGTCAACAGATACATTATAATCTAAGGTTTTTATTTTTAATAACAAACTACACATTTAACAAAAACATTGTTTAAAAGTTGAAGGCATTGAGGGAGAAAAAATTTTTTACTCCACAATTTTAAAGGAATTCATTTTACGTAGGAATAAAACTGAAAATCAGGAAAATTATTTTGAAGTTTTTCACCACTAACAATTTCTGGAAAACAAAGTTGATTTTATTTTCCCATAGAGGAGTGATGTTAAAATATGGGATTATATTCCTGTACTCGGATTGAGCATGCAAATAACTAGTCCAGCCATCAGTAGGTCATTAAGTGCAAAAAAATTTTTTAAAAACTACCCTAAAAGTCTATACTAATTAAAAATATTATTTCCAGTTCTTCTAAATAAACTTAAGGCACATATTGATTACAAAAGGCATTTCATGTACACACATAGTAGGAAGTGCACACATAGTAGGAAGAAAATGTAGTAAGTGACCTAAAACTGAAGTACTTACTATATCTAACATTAACTAATCTTACTTGTCTTAGAATTTAGAATGTTGTTAGGGAAATAGATGGCACAAGACTCTTTAAAGTTGTCCCAATATTTTAAAACTTTTTTTCATATGTTTTCCTGAAATAAGCAGTGACCTCATTAATGCTAGAGGTATTTCTTCACAGACAAGATTTTCAAAAGTAAGAGCTGACCTAACAGACATCCCCTTTATCTGCTCTTCCCTTCTCAATTTACTCAAAGCTAAAATTGTAGGGGCTGAGCGTCAGACAAAAGGTCATTCTGCCCAGTGCTCCACCCCCTTCCTCCAGCCTAGCTCTTACTGAACATGCCTTTTAGTTAGATTACTCTTTCACTTGACAAAACTAGAGCAGGAACTGTCTGGTCACTGGTGCAGACCTGGAAAAGAGCTTAAAAGCACTTTGCCTTCTTTGTGTGCAACTGGCCAAGAGACATGAGGATCACTGGTTGTTTACAGAGCAGAAGGCACTATATAAAGTCAATCTGAAATGCTATTCTTAGAAATCTAACTTAGCTAGATGAAATAAATCACAACCGTTTTCCTTTCACTACCTCAGGGTGCTTTTCTTGAGCTAGTTTAATGTACTGGTGTTTGGGAAATGGTATTAGGTTATCTGGAGAGTTAAGGAACATCCTGTTTATTAACAAGATCTAATTACGGAAAAACCTAATTAAGGGAAGCTGGTGGCACAAATGTCTAGCATACTGCTGGAAAAACGCACCTAATCTTTCACACTAACACATCATGATGGATGTTTTATCATAGCAGTCTGAGGTCCCAAAGCCTTCCTAGCCAGGTGTATGCAGCACATAAGAATACTCCAGTCCTTACTGAAGCAGTGTTATTTTAGGAATTGCTTTGGATTAATCCTTGGTTTGGTACTCAGGGGAGGTGTTATTGTGGCCTTTGGAGCATCCTGTCTTGGGCACCAATTATGCCTTCTTTGCAATCGTTGCCTCCCCCGGATTAAGCACTGCACATACCACTGCTCCTGCTGCAGCTGCTGCTTCTGATTTTTTAACTGGCTTTTAATAGCCTGCAACTCCTGGCATTGCTGAGTTTGCTGCAGTAATTTCTTCCCTAACTCCCGGTTCTCTCTCCTGATGCTGCAGTAGAACTCAAAAGTATACTGCTTTGCTTCCTGCTCCAAGGCCTGGGCCTTCCTGTCAAGCTCCTTTCTTTTTCTCTTTCCCAACTGCCTCATGTCTGGCTCACTCAGTTGTTTCTCCAGGAATGCTTTTTCCTGGAGTAACTGGACCTGGACTTCCTGTTTCTTTGCATCTGTCTCAGCTTGGGTTTTCTTCTTCTCCTCCTGTAATATCTGTATTTCTCTCTCCTGTTTCTCCTTTAATAGTGAAACATTCCTCAGTGCCTGCAACTGCTGCTTTAAGTTGAACTGGATCTTTTCCTTCTGCAAGAGCTCCCTTTTAAACACTGAAGTTTGTTTCGCATATTTGGAGGCTGATTCTTGCCTCCTTCGTTCAATCTCCTCAGTTTTTTGTAAGTAGTTGTTGCACAGCTTTTCAGGCTGCCCTCCATACTCCTCAGTTTTCTTGGTTAGGTATTCCAGAAAGAATTTGTTTTCAGTCTGGACAAGTAACTTTTCAGCGTACAGCTGCCTGGTCTCCTCCATTAGTAATTCTTGCTGGATTTGAGTTTGTTTTATTTGGTTGTTCAGCTTCATCATTTCCACCACTGTCTTTTCTTTAAACCTCGTCTCTGAGTTTCTTAGTTTCTCTGGCTTGAAAAAATTATTTATTAAACTGAGATATGGTGGAGGGGAACTCCTAGAGTCCTTAGCAAACCTGAAGGAAGAACAAGTGAGACATTCCCGCATAAATTCTTAATGAAAATTTAGTAAATACAAAATGCACAACTGTACTTTAATTCATACGAGAAAATATTTTTGAGTACCTATTACGGTTCTGCCACTATGCATGGCACCAGGGAGTACAGCTAGGGGTAAAGATGAATGAGTGTAGTTTACAGTTTACAGTACGCATTCACTACAACCCTGTGAGGTATCACCTCCATTTTAAAGAGGAGAAAACAGGTTCGGAGAATTTAAATGACTTGGCCACGATTTACACCGCCAGCAAGTGGTAGAGTGTGGGTGTGAAACCTAGATTTTAGGATTTACTGAACACTGCAGTAGCTACAAAAGACCACAGGAACAGCCGGGGTGGTCGAGAGTAGCAATACATTTCCCGGCTTTTCCACCACCTTTCCGGTATCCGAGGACACTTCCGTGGAGGGAAGCGCCCCTTCAGTACCTACTTGCTCCAGGAATCCAAGCGTTCATCTCCAGGGTCACGGCGTGGTTCACTGACGGTGACTGCCAAGGAGGGAGCGCTGTTGTCGGGAGCCTGCGACACCTGGAAATGGCGTCCCCTTGCGGAAAGTTTTCGCAATTTCTCCGTTCCGTGCTCCCCGGGTCTCGACGCTGCCCAGCAACCCTCGGGGTCGCACTCCGCCCCAGTCCCGGCCGGTCCAGCCCTGAGCTGCTGAACCTCGTCGGCTGCCGAGTAAGCCCCAGCAGCCGGTTCTCCCGCTCCTTGGGGGCCGAAAGAGAAACGCACTCTCCTCATTTTCGACCCGTGGGGGTCCTGTCTCGGGGACCCCATCTCGTCTCGCCCTTCTGGGGACCAGAGCTTTGCCCCTCCCAGGCCCTCCCCTACGACGGTGAGTGTCCCTTTTCCTGGCCCTCTCTAGCCCTCCATTTCCCTGCCACTGTCGCTAGTTGGTTGGGAGGCTAGGATGCTCTAGCGCCCGGCCCGCCCCTTCGTCTTCCCCTCTAGCGCTAGTTGGGTTCTAGCCTCTCTCGCGGCCCCGAGCGTCACTTCAGCCTCTCTAGGCACGCGGCGTCTCTATGGTAGAGGGGGCGGAGCCAGGAGAAAGATGGCGGCGCCCGCAGAGGCGGCGGCGCCCGCAGAGGCAGCAGCGTTGCAGGCTTCGGGGGCTCCTCGGCCTTCAGTTTGTCTGTTAGTGTTGGGAATGGCGGGATCCGGGAAAACCACCTTTGTGCAGGTGACGTACACGGCGCGGGCGTAGTAGGTGCACGCGAGCGGTTGTCAGTGGTGGGCGGAAGGCCAGGGAGAACGGGAGGGAGGTCTCTCAGGAGAGTTGGAGGGGACCCGCGTGTGGCTTTAAGGTACTTCCCAGCAACACCGGTTCCTTCTTAGGCTAGCCTTTTTGGACTCTAGCCAGGTTTACTTAGGGCGGTCTTCTTCGCACCCTCAGTTCATATTTGGTACAACTTACCACGTTGTTCTGGAATTGTCTTAACAGGTAAAATTGCCGACTCCTCGAAGGCAGAGGCTTACGTGCAACTGGCAGTTAATACAGTGCTAGCATACAGGCTTTTGGTGTAGATTACTAAAGAATTTTTTCTTGCGCAGCTCTTATGTTTCAAGCACTGGAGATACAGAGATTGAATTTGACGAGGTTCCCGCTTTGGGGAGCTAATATTTTAATGGGAGTGATAGCAAAAACCTCACACAAATCAGGTAAATAAGTGATCGAGAGTAGGGGAGACTCTTCTTAGACGGGTGATAAAGAAGAGATAGCATTTATGAGAGTTGAATGTTGGAGGTGGATATCGGGGACGAATATTTCAGGTCGAGGGAAATGGAAGTGTAGGAGTCTTCAGGTATGATCGATACAGGAATCTTGGCGCCTTATTCCCTCTGTCTTACTCCATCCCTCTCTTCTCATATCTCTGCAGAGGCTTACTGGACATCTACATAGCCAAGGCTCTCCACCTTATGTGATTAATCTGGACCCAGCTGTACATGAAGTACCCTTTCCTGCCAATATTGGTGAGTAAATTGTAAGAACTGTGTAAATTGTGTGAAGTCCCTCAGAAAATGGAAAGTTTCCAGCCCACCAGTCTTTAATGCTTTCATTTTTTTCTTTTTTTTAAGATTTTATTTATTTATTTGAGAGAGAGAGAGAAGGAGCAGGGGGAGGGGCAGAGGGAGAGGAAGAAGCAGACTTCCTGCTGAGCAGGGAGCCCCATTCCCACTCCATACCAGGACTCTGGGATCATGCCCTGAGCTGAAGGCAGACGCTTAACTGACTGAGCCACCCAGGTGCCCCTCATTTTCATTTTTCTAAACTACTTTCATTTTCCTTGAATTTCCTAGAATCTCTAAACAAGCCTTCTCCTTTATTCACATTTTCTTTGTTTACTCCTTTTCCTAAGTAAGTTTATTTCCTTACCTCTCACTGTTATCTCTCCCCTCTTTCTGACTAGAGAGTATCAGGCTATTGTTATTTGCGATAATGAAGTGACAGAAAGTCAGTCCTCTCACCTCAAGGTCATAAAACCTTCAGCAGGCCCTGATACATAAACCTTTTTTGTTTAGTTTCTTTTCTCAAAAGTTTAGGGTTCCTGTGTGGTAGTTCACTTACTGATCTATAGGAACCTTTCTTCCACTCCCAAAGTTACATGGGAAAATGTGTATATGCATATATGCATTGTTTTGGGGAGAGGTTTCCAGTTATCATCAGACTTTCAGAGGATCTGTGTGAAAAAAATTAAGAGTGGATATGATTCACTGTCATGGTTCTTGATAGGATACAGGGGCCTCCTGATTTCCTGGCTGTCACTGTGCTAATCCTCTCCCTCTTTGTCTCTTCTTAAGCCTGTTAAGCTGCTTGTACCCCAATCATACTAATAAAGGAAAACCTTGTTAAGAAGCAGAGATCATTTTGGGAAGAGTTTGGGAAAAAGTTGGTATCTTCTCATTTAAAGGATGGACTTCTGTTGATAGATGACTGGATAAAGAAGATGTGGTATATATATACCATGGAAAATTACTCAGCCATGAAAAACAATGAAGTCTTACCATTTGGGACAACATGGATGGACGTAGAGGGTGTTATGTTAAGTGAAATAAGCCAAGACAGAGAAAGACAAATACCTTATGGTTTCACTTATATGTGGAACCTAAAAAACAAAACAAAACGGAAACAGACTCATAGATACAGGAAACAAACTGTTGGTTACCAGAGCAGGGAGGAGTTGGGAGGCGAGTGAAATAGGTGAAGGGGATTAAGAGGTACAAACGTCTAGGTACACTGTAAGTCATGGGGATATAACGTACAGCATAGGGAATATAGTCAATAATATAATAACTTTGGTAACATGATAACCAGACTTATTGTGGAGATCATTTTGAAATATATAAAAATATCGAATCATTATGATGTAAACCTGAAACTAGTAAGATACTGTATGTCGGTTATACCTAAATTAAAAAAAAAGATGGAATTCTAATAGTTGGTGGGGTCTACAGGCTGGTAGACAGGTTTAGTTAGATATTACTGGATGTATTAATTCCTTTTGAAAAATCATGTCTGTATTACCGTTGTTACCAGTAGGCAATTAGTAAGAAATAAACTTTTTTCTTGATTCATCTCCCTTTTTCTTTTCTTTTATTTTTAGTTTAATTCCAGTATAGTTAATATACAATGTTATATTAGTTTCAGGTGTACAATATAGTGATTCAACAATTCTGCATTTTTTTTTAGCTGCCTTTTTCTATGCGTAGGGTCACTGATAAGGTATTAAAGTTGTACAAAACTTTTCTCTTGGGGCGCCTGGGTAGCTCAGTCGGTTAAGTGTCCAATTCTTGGTTTCAGCTCAGATCATGATCTCAGGGTCATGAGATTGAGCCCCGAATTGGGCTCCAGCTCAGTGGGGAGTCTGCTTGAGATTCTTTCCCCTTCCCTCTCCCTCCCTCTCTGCTCCTTCCCCTGCTCATGCATGTGTGCGCACGCTCTCTCTCTCTCAAGTAAGTTAAAAAAAAAAAAAAAAAAAATCTTAAAAAAACCCCCAAAACCCAGCTTGGCCACATTACTTAAAAAAAAAAAAACAAAACCTTTTCTCCTTGTCTCAGACCATTTCTACCATAACTTCTGAGTTCCTAGCTAACATTTTTTATGGGTTACTTCCCCGTTATCTTTTGTAAGGAAGGAAACCAGTGTGAAACTGGGGGAATTAGTAGAAGAGAATGCAGACAAGAGAAGTCTGAATGGTTGGTTTCAGATTCTTGCTGGGTGAGAAGGTACTTGCAGGGCATCTTCTGCCCTGTTCTTCTCTTCACGATCTTGTTTTTTTTTTTCCCCTATCAGAGTTCAGTGACCTTAGCTTAAAAATTTAGAAAACAGATTTGAAAAGTAAGTGAGATACCAAAAGAGAAACTTATTTTTTTTTCCTCAGGGGAAGCAGGGATGACTTGAGAGGCCCGTTGTCTGAGGATATTATAGGTGGAGGGCCTCAACTATATTGTTTCTGTCTGTTAAATTCCAATGAATTCTTCCTCCCGCCTCCCCCCAGATATTCGTGACACTGTGAAGTATAAAGAAGTCATGAAACAGTATCCTTTTCCGCATCTGCTTCTCTGCTGACTCATCCCTGACTAGTTACTATCTGTTTTTTTGTGGCTTTGAGAGTATTTTTGCATTTCTTTGTGAAATATACTAGCAAAAGCATTTAATTGCTTTAAAGTAATTTAATTAGGAGGATGGAAAGATGAATGTGAGAAGAGGTATTATAGGTGATTAGAAATACTGTTTCAGCTTGTGGGTTCAGTTTTCTTACCATCTTCCCAGACTACAGGCTATTATAATTGGAGAGCATAGAGGGTGAGAGGCTAGCTGGTGCTGTGCCTGGTCCCATAAAGTAGTGTCACCTTGGAGGCTACCACCTCCTCTGACACTGGGAAACTCAGAAGTAGGATCAACTCTTAGTACATTGCTGCATGAAGTGTGTACTTTCCGTATAGGTGGGTCTAGGTGGATAGACTAATTCTAATCAGCAGGTTGATTGACCAGTGAGGATCAGAGCAAGGAGTGTGATATCTTAATGATATTTTCAGATGATCTTAATGGCTAATGCTATTAAGCTGTCACTGCCAGATGCATCTGTCTGTTACATTTTGGTCACTTTAATTTCTTCATTTTGCCTCGGCATCCCCAAAATGATAAAGGAACGAGGATAATGAAAATTCCTTGTGAGGTTAAGGTTGTGTGGTATGTCAGGGATTAGCTGCCAGTATCCATTCATGGAACACTAATGTTATAATGCTGTTTGTGTGAATGATATCCTAAGTGTGAATTTCATCATCTAAGTTGATCTGTAAGTAATTTAAATCCTCAACTTAGTGTCCAGGTATGGACTTGGGCCCAATGGTGGTATAGTGACGTCACTCAATCTCTTTGCTACCAGATTTGATCAGGTATGTCTGTCTTTACTTTATAGGCATGGCTGTGTAAAAACCTGTGACTTTTAAATGCCTTAGCTTGCTCACGTTGAGAAAGAGCAATAAACCTGGATATTCATAGAAAATAAGTAAGCATTTTGGGAGACAGAGGAGGTTATGACAGGATGATCAGTGTTGTGAGACACTTCACATTTAACATTGTGACAGCCAATAAAACAAAAATCCAGGTTCTTTTCTTGATCTTGGCTTGTAGTGTCACCTTGAGGATGGAATGGAGGGTTGGGGAGTGGGATGGACTAGCAGGCATGGAATGGAAAGATCATGGGGCTTTTTACGTGTGACAGATAATTGTCACTGTTTAAGTTTCTCTCTATCACCTATGTCCTTAAGAGTGT